GTGTATCTTTTTCCATCCTTTACTTTTAACCTATCTGTATCTTGATATTTAAAGTGAAATTGTCATAAGCAGCATATAATTGGGTCTTGCTTTTTTTCTTTAAGTGATCTCTATGCCTAACATAGGGCTTGAACTCACAACCCTGAAACCAAGAGTTACATGTTCTACCAAGTGAGGCGGCCAGGCACCCCTTGGGTCTTGCTTTTTATCCAATCTGATAATCTCTGCCTTTTAATTAGGATGTCTAGATCATTTACATTTAAAGTAGTTACTAATGGAGCACCTGGGTGGCTCAACTGGTTAAGCACTGACTTCAGCTCAGGTCATGATCTCACCGTTCTTGAGTTCAAGGCCCATGTCAGGTTCTGTGCTGACAGCTCAGAAACAGAAGACTGCTTCTGATTCTGTGCCTCCCTCTCTGCCCCTTTCCCACTCGTACTCTGTACCTCTCTCTCAAATATAAATAAAAACATTAAATTTTTTAAAAATAAAAGTTACTAATATGGGTAGATTTAAGTCTATCAATGTTATTTCTATTTGACTCATCTGCACTTTGTTCCTTTTTCTTTCTTTTGTACTATTTTTTATGATTTCATTATCTCTTCATTGGCTTATTAGCAAAACTCTTTGGCTATTTCAGTAGTTGCTTTAAGGTTTATAGTACACCTCATTAACTTATCCCTGCCTACCTTCAAGTGATATTATAACATGTCAGGTGTAAGAACCTAACATTAATATACTTCCATTTCTCTCCTTCTGGCCTTTAGGTTACTGCCATTGTATATTTTACTTATATATATATTATAAACCCCACAATATATTGTTGTTATTTGGGTTGAAATAATTATTTTATTAAATTTTTGGAAACAGTGAGAGACAGAGTGTTAGCAGGGGAAGGGGAGAGAAAGAGGAAGACACAAAATATGAAGCAGGCTCCAGGCTCCAAGCTGTCAGCACAGAGTCCAACAGGGAGCTCAAACCCATCAACCATGAGATCATGACCTGAGCCAAAGTCAGATGCTTAAATGACTGTGCCATTCAGGTGTCCTGAAATAATTATCTTTTAAGGAGGTTTAAATAACAAGAAAAAAAATCTCCTTTAATCATCATTTTCAGGGTTCTTTATTCCTTTATGTGAATCCATATTTCCATCTAGCATCATTTTCCTTCTGGATGACTTCCTCTAATATTTATTCTGCTGGTGAAAAACTCTTCCAGCTTTTGTATGTCTGAAGTCTTTATTTTGTCTTCATTTTTGAAAGATATTTCCATGAAACATAGAATTATAGGCTGACAGGTTCATATATTTTTCTTTAAATACTTTTAAGATGTTGCTCCACCATCTTTTCAATTGTATTCCTTCTGACAAGAAATCTGTCATCCTCATCTTCGCCTCTGAATATAATGTGTCTTTACCCTCCCTAGTTTGTTTTTAAGATTTTCCTCTTTACCACTGGCTTTGAATAATTTGATTACCATGTGCTTTGGTTTCTCCATATTTCTTGAGCTTTGTAACAGTGAACTTCTTGGATCTGTGGCTGGACACTTTTTCAACCATTATTTCTTCCAGTTTTGTTGTTGGTGTGTTGTTGTTGAACTCTCTCCATCCTTCTCCAGAAGGATTCCAATTACAAGTATATCAGGTCATTCAAACCCTTCCCACAGTCCACTAGTGGTTTTTCATATTCATTAAAAATTCTTTTATCTCTTTTTATTTTCAATTGTTTCTACTGCTATGTCTTCTAGTTCACTAATATTCTGCAATGTCTAATCTGTTAATGTCATCCAGTGTACTTCCCATTGAAAACAGTATACTTTTCATCTCTATAAGTTAGATTTGTGTTTAATATTTTCTATGTCTCTACTTACATGAAATACAGTAATAACTCTTTTAATGCTCTTGTCTGTTAATTCTAACACCTGTGTCACTTCCAGGTTGGTTCCAATTGGTTGCTTATTCTTCTCACTATGGATTATTGTTTTCTTGCTTCAATGTATGCCTTATAATCTTTCACTAAATGGATCCCAGACATTACAAATTTCACTTTATTGGGTGGTAAGCAATTTTTGTATTTTTATAGATATTCTCAGGCTTTGTTGTAAGAGAAAGTACAGTTACCTGGAAACAGTTTGATCCTTTTGGGTCTTGCATTTTTAATTTGTTAGGTGGTTCTGGAGCAGTGCTCACTGTAGGGCTAATTATTCCCAACTAGTGAAGGAAGACTTTTCTGAGTAGTCTACCCCATTGCTCCACAAATTAAGAGTTTTCCCAGTCTGGCCAGTGAGAACAGGCACTATTTCCTGTCTTATGTGAACACAAGGCACTGTTTCTTTCCCTGGACTCAGACAGTTTCTTCACATGTATGCACTGATCAATACTCTGCCAAACACTAGGAGAACCCTTCGCAAATCTCAGGGATTCTCTCTCTATGCAGTGCTCTTCACTCTGATATTCTGTCTGTGAATTCTAGTTACTTTGGTCCTGCTTGAGTCTCAGTTTCATCTTCTCAACTCAGAGAGTTAGCTGGCCTCCACCTAGGTTTCCTCTCATATCACTGCAGATGGAAATTTTCTCAAGATAGAAAGTTGGAACAACCAGACGTCTTGACTCATTTA